GCTGAAGACAGACACTACAAAGAGAGGGATTTAAGGCCAGCTGTTGGCTGCCACATATGCCAAGCCTCGTGCTAGCTGCTTTCAATATATTATCTCATTTAATCCTCACAACAGCTTCCGAATATTGACCTTCTTGTCCGCACTTGCACATGAGCAAACAGGCTCAGAGAGGGAGAGCAATGTGCCCAAGTGCACACAGCGGGTCCACTTGACTCCATGCTCGCACCCTTTCCACTCTTCCAAGCTGAGAATAAAACATGGATGCACATAACTAGAATTCAAATGAGGAGGGAGGATAACCACAGGCTATAGGAACCAGAGGAGGAGGGAATTATCTTCTGAAAGCTTCCTGGAGAAGGCACCATGTCATGAGCTGGGCCTCGAATGGTGGCAAACCAATCCCTCACATCACAGTAGGCTTCTAATGGGCGTCAGGCTTCTGTTCGAACCTTGAGGCAGTAAGGCTGGCCCCTTCAGCCCATTTTATAGTTGTGCAGACTGAGACTCTCAGGGACAAGTTGTCTGAGGTACCACAGTGAGGCCCCAGGCCTCAGGGCTCCATCTCTGAACCGTCTGGAAACGAGGGGGATGGGGGGCAGCTTGGAGGTGGTGGCTATGCAGGAAAGATACCACCCCCCCGCCAGAGCAGTGTCATTACATAGTCATGAGACTCTGGTTATTGTCTATCTCCCCAATAGACTGTAAGTGCTCTGAGGACAGGGCTGGTCTGTCTCGGTGACCCTTCATCTACCAGTTCCAGGATGGACACTCAGGAAACTTCAGGGAAGGGAGGGAGAGAAGAAGGGAAGGAGGAAGGAAGGAAGGAGGAAGGAAAGGAGGAAAGGAAAGAGGGAAGGAGGGAGGCAGAGAGGGAGGGAAGGAGGCTTGCATAGGATCTTATACCAAATCCAGGGACCTTAGACTCCAACCCACCCCAGAACCATCAGAACCCTGTGTGAGTATCACATTTTAAGAGGAATGAATTCATAGAAGAAATATTTGTGGGACATGGAGAGGTTGCCCTTGGAGGAGGGAAGTTCCTGACCACGACACTCATGCCTAGGAGCTATCCCATGGCAAGGGGGCAGAACCTGGTGTGCCCCCACAGAAGAAAGAGGACCAGAGAAGGGAAACACTGGAGGGGCAGATTTTGGCTGAAAATAAAGGACTTCCAACAGGCAGTGACTCACTGGTCCCCAAGATGCACCAAGCCCCATCACAAGAGGTGTGCTGGCAGGAGCAGGGACATCCCGAGCTGAGGCCCTAAATAAGGGATTTTATACCCAGGGCGCAGGGCTGGCTCTAAGGCAGTCGCAGCTCTGACCCTGTGATCCTAGGAGTGAGTCTGTGGTTCCAGGCCCTGGAGCTCCTCCTCTCCCGGGGTTCTGTTCTGTTCTGACACCACCATCCAAGACCCTATGAGCTGAAGCGGACTGTGCCAGGCATGTTGCTCCATGTTCTTTCTCACATAATCCTTGCCACATGCCATCTAGGCGATATTGTTCATTGTTATTCCATTTTACAGGTGAGAAAATTGAGGCTCAGAGAGGCCAAGTAGCCTCACCAGAGTCAGAGCTGGGACATGCGACCTGGGCTTGAAACCAGGCCTACCAGACTCCAAGGCCGTCCCGCCTCGGCCGGTCTGATTCCAATATCCTGTGGTCCCAAGATTCTTTTTGTGGCCTGAAACCACAGTTCTTCCCCTGGGGGTGGACCACAGGGCCCCCACTGCCACCACAGCCTGGCCCCTGCCCAACCACAGCCCCCACCCTGGCCTTACCACAGTCGGCTCTGTGGTTTCCCGAACACTCTCCACCTAGAACAGCTTTGACCATAATGGTTCCCAGGAGAGGTTGTTGGTCAATTCTCCTTGCCTGGTTCTCAATTTCTTCTAAAAAGGAAGGTGGCTGAGGTCCCAGGGGGGCCGTGGGCTGCCCCTCCCCAAAGGACCTGCATGTTGATCTCACACTCTGGCCATAGTACATCATTTCAGCTTAATTTTATTTTCTCTTATAAATGGGCACAGCACGGGAAGTGTTAAAAAAGAAAAAAAAAACAATCAAACAAAAAACAAAAACAAACCCAAACAGTTCCTTCACAAGGCTGGGACAGGTGTGTCCCCACAGCGAGACAGGCACCTGGGTCTCTTTTTCAGTCTTTTTCCTCCGCTTTACCTTATTTAAAGTTTTGGCCGTGAACTCAGGACAGGTACGGTTAATAAACAAGTTATGGGGAGAGAGAGGGCAGGGAAGGTCTGGGGGAGGGAAGGACAAACTCCCACCCACCCCAGGTTGGGTTCTTGGAGGGCTCTGTACAGGAGAAAGGACGCACAGGAGGGACACTGTCTTCAGGGGGCTCTCTGGAGCCACGCTGCCTACGAAAAATATTTACATGCATTCACCACGCTGGGGTCAGGGGCTTGGAGCTGCCAGGTCAGCACCTGGGAGATGCCGGGGCCATCGGTCCTTAGATGGCGACGCTGGGGCCCAGTCTCCACGTCTCTGTAAATCTGTATACAGTCTGTGGGCTTCTATTTACAGGCTGGAGGCCAGGGAAGCAAGTCCAGGGTGGTGGCTGTCAGAAGAAATTCAGGAGAGCCGAGGAGGTGGTGGCCACGCCCGCCCCAAGAAGCAGAGATGAGTCTGCTCCCTGTGCCCAGGGCCCCAGCCTAGAAGCCCGGACAGATGGCTCTGCCAACCCCAGGGGGCTCCAGCCTGAGCACTGCAAGCCACTGCCCGCAGACCTGCCTGGCCCAGCCCTGCCCACCATCCACCCGCCTCCAGCGAACAGGGGCACCAGCCTTTCGGGAGCGGTATCCCCTGTGGTCCCCTGGGGAGACAACCTGGGCTCTAGAAGTCACAGCTGGGGGGTGGGCCCAACCCCCAACTTCCTAGGCCCCAGCCTGCCTAGTGTTCTCTGGTAGCCGAGGCCCCAGAGAGATTCTCAAGCTGTACAACCTCCTTCTCCTTTGGAATTGGCCGTGCTTCCAGGAAATGCCAGGGCCCTGTAGGACCCCCTCCCCAGGAGCACTGGGGTGTCTGGGGACCTATTTGGGCAGGCCCTGCATGCATCACACCATGTGCCCAGGCAGGGTATGGCCCCGCACCCACATTGCACCTCGGAGAGTGCCAGCTCGCCCTTGGAACCGACCTCACTCTCATGGGTCCAGGCTGGACCCATGCAGGCCACTCCAGTCAGCCTAAATTCAGCTCGTCCATCCTGTGCTGGACTCGCCCTCACCACGGGCTCCAGCCCCGGACAGAAGCTGCGCCCACTGCTGGGTCTCCTACCCCCGTCCCAGCATCCCTGGGCTTCCCTGGGCTGCCCCCCAGGTCCTCTCTCCTCCATGCTTCCTGGTTTCTCAGCCTTGGCCTGCCCAGGCCTTCTCACCAGAGCTGCTGTCCCCAAGGCAGCAGCCCACCAGGGAGCAGGGGAGAGGGAGACTGGGACTTTGGTCTCCCCCTCCCCCAGCCCTTCTGCTCCAGGGATGACTGAGGCCAGGTCACCTCCAACGGACGGTGGACCCGGGATGCCTCCTCCCACTCCCACCCTCCCAAAGGCTGGGGCCAGCTAGGTCCCTCACAAGACTCCAGGCCCTGCCAGGAGGCGCATGGGGTCTGAAAGATGGAGCCCCAGCCTGGAAGTAGGATGGTGGAAAAGACAGGCCGTGGAAGCTTCCTGGAACCTCACCCTCACCACCCACCCCTCACCCTGCAGAAGTCTGGTGCCAGGGAGTCTTGAAAAGGGAACAGAAATAAAACCTGGGTTCCTGACTTTCATCTGGGTTGCGGGTGAGGGGTGGGGGTGTGAGCCCCAGCTGACGACAACTCAGACCATATGCCTTGGCTCCAAGGGCCCCTGCTAAGTACATCCCCCAAAATGTGTTGTGACCCCACAAGTAAAATATCTACGGAAGTGACCCCACTTGCAAAGGTAACAAAGAAGGGGGAGGCGGGCCAGGGCCTATGACACTCCCGCGCCCCCGCTCTCAGCCCCCTTCCTGGGGCAGTGCGGCTGGATGCGCTGCTCCCAGCTTCCATCCGTCCAGCTGCAGCCAGGAGAACCACCAGGTTGTTAGGCCAAATGAGCGGGCAGGTGTCCTCGGGCAGGGCCCAGGGTGACCCCAGGGTGGGGGTGAGGTGGGCCTGGGGCCCAGGGGAGAGGGTGCAGAGGGCCCAGGTGGCAGGCCCACCCTCACAGGCACTTTGGAGACTTGTGTCCTGGGAGGCAGAGTCAGCCCCCAGCTCAGAGCCGGAGGGGGATGCAGGGAGACCAGGAGCCAGACTATAGGCTCCCTCCCCACCCGGGGCCTCTGGCCCCGGGAGGCCCAAGCCCCCTCCCCAGCCCGAGGCCGAATTCCAGGAATCAGCCTGCCTTCCTCAGCAAGGCTCCCAGCTAGCTGGGGACTGGTCCCGAACCAACCCCTTTGCAGGCCACGGAGGGGAGGAAAGCAGGCAGGGCTGAAGCCAGGCCCGGCTGGAGTGCCCTGAGGGGGCTTGTGGCAACAGCCCCCCACACCACACTTTATTCTGAAAAAGGCCCACTTGTCATCCTCCAGTGTGAGAGCAGGGCTGTGAGGGGTGAGATTGTGCATCCAGGTGGGATTGTGTCTGACACGCCGGGGTTGGTGGCAGTGTGGTTGGTGTGGGTGTCATGGCGAGGACTGAGTGTCACAGGGCAACTCAGGGGACCCAATATGGGCTGAGTGTTCCGGCCTGATTACACCCTCCCCAGTGAGCCTGAAAGCTGGAGACACGTGTGTGGTGCCGGCGGGCAGGGGGGGGCGGGCAGGGGGGACAGAGAGGGAGGCAGGCCACACTGTCACCACTGGGTGACGATGGTTAGTGACTTGCATTGCCACAAGCTTTTGGGGTCGTGTGAGAAACACGTGTGAATAAACATCTTTGGAAGAATGTGTGTGTCTGTAACATGTCTTGATTGGCTGGGTAGTCAGGGTTGTGTATGATTTTTGTCATTGCACGCTTTTGTCTCTGTGTGTGACAACATGTGTGACCGTGTGGGAGACAGTGTCTGTGCAGAGTCCACTCTCGAGAGGGAGGTCCAAGCAGCCCAGCTCCTCCTCACCAGTGGCTGCCAGGGCGCCCTCGGGAAGCCAATTCCTCAGGGGCAGACTGGGGAGGAGGTGAAGCCTGTGGGTGCATGTGTATCGGGCAGCAGTGAGGGGAGAATGACCCCACAACCCTAGAGAGGCCAGAATAAAACAGGCTGGTGACAAGGGATACCCTCCCACCCAGGCAGAGAGGGGCCCTGGGACAGGAGCGCAAGGTTGTGGTGTCTTGATGATTTCAAGGGCTGAGCTTGCCAAATGCTTGTCCTGGAAACCAGCCTGAGTGCCTCTCTGCCCCTAAAAGGAGACCTCAGCCAGCCCTGTGGGGCCAGGTTGGGGCTCAAGCCCCACCCCTTCTTCCACCAGCCAATCAGGAGCTTCCTTCCTCCTGTCCATCTGACATGAGGTCCTGAAGCCCCAGGCTGGTGGGGGACAAGAGATGAGCTCGTAAGGGCACAGTCTGGGGCAGATGGCAGTGCCCCCTGTCCCCTGGGGAAGATCTGGCAGTCTGGGCAGACCTTGGGTGGGCAGGCAGAGATGAACTGGGGCCAGGCTTCCTCCCAGGCCCAGTCCCAGGCCACAGCTGGTGGGGCCGGACTGGGGACTGGGCGGAGGGGTGGCGCTGAGGCTACGGGGAGGCACTGTGGCTCCGCTAGGCGTAGAACTCCTCCTGCTTGTCAGGCTTCTGGTACGTGACGCTTGCCTGCTTAGGCTCCTCCAGCGTGTAGCTGCCCTCGTCCTTCTTCTTCATGCGGTAGATGAGCAGCGTGACCAAGAAGGCGGCGAAGAGGGCGCCCACCACCCCACCCACAATCACAGCTGTGGAGGAAGAAGGCAGAAGTCAAGGGCCAGAGGTGTGGGATGAGCTTAGAGCTGGGGAGAGGGCAGAGGGTCCCGGGGGTGGGGGCAAGAGTGGGGAGAGGGCTGGGAGCCTAGAACCTGAGACTGGAGTTGGAGTCATTTCACTACCACCAGCACTGGCTGCCATTTACAGCTCTGCTGCGGTCTGGCTCTGTTCTAGTCGCCTAACGCACACTAACTCATCAAATCCTCATACAGTGCTAATAAGCGAGGTGCTATGGTCCTCGTCAAATGTACGATGCCACGGGTCGGAAGATGTTCCAGTGTTTTATACACCATCAGGAAAGAAAAACTCTGCCAACTAAACTTTGACAGACCCCAACTACAGAAGAGTTACCATATGAAGAAATGTGCACTGAGAATTGATTAAGTGCAAAATGATTATCCCCCCAGATGAGGAAAAGGGAGCCTGGAGAGGGGAAAGACCTGCCCCAGGCCATATTCCTCCTAAGTGGGGAGCAGCGCTTGGACCACGCGTCCAGAGACTCATCAGGAGATGGGCCAGGGCAGGGCCTCAGGCCGGCATCAAGGGTGGGGGCAGGTCAAGCCAAAGGATGGGGTCAGAGATTAGGATCCAGGGGGTAAGGTCCAGGAGGAGTCAGCCAGCATGGCTCAGAGAAGCAGGGGTCAAGGTCACAGTCTGAGGAGGGGTCAAAGGGCACTGGGGAAAGCGCTGGAGATAGGATAAAGTCAACGTCAGACCCTGGGATGGAGGAAGGTCAGGGAGGAAATGGAGGGTGGATCCTGGGGGTCAAGTCCCCCACTTTCCTTCCCTAGGAAACTAGGCCCCTAGGAATCTCAGCCCTGACCTCCCTCCTGGGCTCCTAGAGGGCAAACTGAGGCCCAAACAGCCGCCCCACTCTGGGCTCCTCCCGGGCCCCACGCCTCACCTACGAGCACCTCCTTCCGCTCCAGGATGCTCTTCTGTGGCAGCTGAGCCGCCGAGCTGCCCGAGTCGATGGCATTGTCCAGGAGGCCAGGACCTGGGCGGGCACCCTTGGGCAGTGTCCCAGGTGGAGGTGACGGCTTGGCCGCAGCCCCGCCCACGGCCACCACCTCGTTGGCTCTGTCTGGCTGCGTGGTCTCTTCCTCCGGCAGCTCAAAGTCCCCGCTGGGCCCCCCGCTCACCGGCACCTCTGCCTCATCCCGGATGGTGGTCAGGAAGGACTCTGGAGTTGGCGTCTGCAGGGAGGGTAGAATGAGCCCAGGAGCCAGACCCCAACGCCCACTGCCTCAGGGCAGCCACACACAAGCCCACCCCTACTACTCCTCTTCCCCGCGAGGCTAACACTAAGCACTCACTATGCGCCAGGCACTGTGCTAAGCACATTAGGAGCATTTTACCCTACAACATCCCCATGAAGGTGGTACTATTACCCCCAATTTACAGAGCAGGAAATAGGCTCAGAGAGGGTCTATGACTTGCCCAAGGACACACAGCTAGTAAGTGGTAGAAGCAGAACTAAAATCCAGATCTATCCAACTCCACCATCTGTGTTTCTACTCACTATACTACACTACCTCTGTTCTCACCTGGCCACATCCTGCCCCTCCCATCTCTGTCATTTCCCCCTCCAGCTGCTGTTTAGGGACTGCTGGATGCCGCTGTTATGTACTCAGGTCTGGGGTAGAGATGAGTCCCCAAGCCTGGAAGTCAGTCCAGGAGCACAACCTGCAGAGTACGATGCCCCTCGGGGTCAGGTGTCCAGGCAACCAGCCCAGGGACCACGTGGAGGCAGGACCAGAGCTGGGATCGGGGCAGGGATGTAGGCACTTCACAGATGGGTGTGGAGAGGATGGACCTGATGTCCAGGCCCAGGAGAGACCGTGAGCAGAGGCTGCACCATCGACCTGCTCTCCGTGCCCCATCGCTGTCGCCCCTTCCTGCTTGCCCAGGTGTCTGGGAAACACCAGGCTGCCCCGGCTGCCCAGAGGAGCCGAGGGCAGGGCCTGCGTCCTGCTGGGGCTGCTGGGTGTCAGAGGAGCGGACGCTGACCCGAAGGCAGCTCCACAGCCTGAGGGTCCTCTGTGAGGCCGGCTGCCAAGGGCAATCAATGTCTCCACGTCCACTCCTCGCCCAGTGTACCCAGAAGGGACCAGGCTGCCTCTCCCATCTCCTTGCTCCCGTCCCAGCATGTCTGACATCTTCATCCTCTCCCCTGGATCCCCTACCCCGACCCAGAATACCCCAGACACACAAGCCTGGCTCTGGAGCCAACGGCCGAGTTTAAATCCTGACTCTGCCATTGCTGGCTGTGAAGCCTTGGGAGAGCGGCCTCAGCTGCAAAAGGAGGATGACGGCAGTGCCCCCCATGCTCCCGCCCCCACCGTGGGGTGGGCGTGAGGGAGAGAGGAGACGGCACAGGGAAAATGCTCGGCGCTGAGCTGCCACCCAGGCGGCACCCTGCAAACACGAACTCCCAGAAATCCTCTCCTAGTGCCCGCTCTTAACCACCCTCAGACTAATAATAATAACCACCACGACATTATTAACAAGAGCGAAACTTTGACTACCGCCAGGGCGCTCGGGATGTGTCAGGAAACTTAAGTCTCACCACACTATGATTTGCATCCTATCATCGTCTCCCTTTCACAGATAAGAAAATAGAGATATAGAAAGGATCGGTGACTTCCTGAAGTCACATGGCTGAAAAGTGGCAGTGGGAGAATCGCAATCCAGGCTGCCTGAGCGGCTCCTGAGTCTGTGCTCTTAACCTGAACACACAGACCCTGGCCCCCTACCACCAACACACGCACTCACCCATTCCTTCTCCATCAATGTCTTGTCCCAACATGCTAAGACCCACGGCTGGTCCCTCTTCCATCCCCATCCATCTCGACTTCTGTCCTCATCCTGTGACTCACCCCCTGCCTTGGCCCTCCGGTCACATCCCTCTCTCACCCTCCCCATCCCTGTCTGACTCATCTGCAGAACCTCCTGGTCTTCACCCCTGCCCAGCTCCCTCCTCCCTCCCCCAGACCCTCACCCACCCTTCTCCGCCCTCACTCCGTGTCCTCTCCCAACCCCCTCACCTGAGCCACCTCCGTGGGTCCAGGGGCAGTGGTCCTCAGGGGCAGGGTGCTCCTCTCAGGGATGTCAGGCTCCTGGGTGGTGGCTGGCCTGGGAAGGGCCCTTGGTCTGGAGGTAGCTGTGCTGACCAGCCTGGGTGTTGGGGCCTCCGTGTCCAGGACAGCCACCGTGGTGGGAGGTGAGGGCGCCGCTGCGGTGGTGGCCCGGGCCGTGGCTGCCGTGGTCAGTGGAAGAGGCAGAAGCCTCCGTATGCCGGTGGTCCTTACAACAGAGGTGGTGGCTGTGGAAGGGGGAGCCGCAGGGATGCTAGAGGCAGCGGTGGCCACTGTGGCGGGCACCGTGGCCACCGTCGGGGCCCCTGTGGTTGTGGCAGCAGTGGTAGCCGTGGGAGTGGAGATGGTGGTGGCTCTCTGGCTGGGCTCTTCTGGGACCTCTGTCACCACTGGGGGCCTGGTGGCTGGCTCTGGGGTGGGGCGCTCAGCAGGGAGCTCTTCAAACGGGGTGCCCACAGGCTGGATGTCCATGGTGGGCAGCACAGCGGGTGTGGTGGACACTGCCAGGGCCACATCTGGGCTGAACCGCATGGCTGTCTCAAGGCCCGACTCCTGCTCGAAGTCTGAGGGGGTGGAGAGAGGAGAGAGCTAGGGAGCCGGGTGATTGTGGAGGAAATGAGGATCCCATGTAAGCAATGGCCATCAAGATTGGGGGCTCCAGACCCTCACTCTTTGCACAATTTCCCCAGGACAGGATGAGAGAAACGAGGAAGGCACAGTCTGGCCAAAGGTTACCAGTTGGCTGATGGCTGGTGGATGTCCCCCAACTCCTCTTTTCCTAGCCAAAAATGCTCTAGGGGCCACCTCTTCCGGGAAGTCTTCCCTGACTATTCCAGCTCACCCAGGCTGGAGCTTCTAGCAGGTTGAATCCAGGCGGTGGTAACTAAAGGCCTAGTGGCTGCAAATCTCACTGGAAGTTGAGGAGAGCAGGAGAGTGGCATTCTGGGAACAGTCAGACCTGGGTGCACCCTACCATGAGCACAAGGTGGTGGGTACATGAAGGGCTCCCCTGGAGGCACAGGGAGAGGTCAAAAGGAAGAACAAGCCCTTCCTCCAGGGGAATGCTTGAGCAATCTGGCCGACTCAAAGCCAGGACAGTGGAGGGACTTGGGAGGAAATGAGGAGAGAGAAACAGAGAAGCCAGAGCCAGCCCCGGGGGCCTGAGCCAGGTGAGGGGGGGTGGAGGAGCCAGGGAGGTTTGGGAGTAGAGACAGGACCCATCAGAGATGGATTTTACAAAGATTAACTCGCAAGAGGCATAAAGGAGTGGCTAAAAGGGGGAGAGTAGAGGCAGGAGGCGGCGGGTGGCCAGTTCCACGACATGTGGACCTCCTACCATCTCGTCAGACCTGTCCTGTCCCCTCAGTGGGCTCAATCTCAGCATACACACCCTTTTTAGAACTCCCTCTCTGTGCCAGACCCCGACGTGCTATGCTGAGGCCTTCTAGAGGCTCTGAGAAGAAGGTGTACTTATCACCATTCACAGATAAGAATACAGAGACTCAGAGAAGGAAAGCGGCCAAAAGCGGCACTGCTGTTAAGTGGCAAGGCGGGGATTCGAACTCGTGCATCTCTCTCATCTCACTACTCCGCAGGCCTTTCCTAGTCCCAGGCACTACTGGCGGCACCTGCCCTTGTCCATCACTGCCCTAACTCCGCCCTTGGCCACAGCTGATTGGACTAGAGGGGGGCACCTGACCCAAGCTGGGCCAATCAAATCGTCTCTATTAAGGATTTGCCACTAAGCTGAGAAACGGCTGCTCAATTCCTCCAAGCGGTTGGAACAGTACTGAAAACTGGGTTACTGAGGGGCGTCTGTGTCCCCGAGCAGGCGGGAGGTCTGCAGGGAGACCCAAGCAGTGCGCACAGAGATGCAGAGACAGAAACCGTGGGGGGCTGGGAGCCCTGCTTCCGCCTCCAGGAAGATCTTGGGCTCCTGTTCCCTGCGATCGAAGCCTCAGGTGGGCCCTGGGGGCAGCTGGCAGTGCCACACGACTGACACGCAGGGAAAGGGAAGGGGAGGTACTTACAGCCCGAGCCCGACCCCGAGTAGAGGTCGTCCAGCTCATCATCCGGGAAGGGGTCGTCGTCCCCGGAGCCCTCGAGGTCCACGGGCCTCTCAAAGTTCTCACTGCGCCAGCGCTGAGCCTGGGAAGGGCAGAGTGGGGCACGGGGCTCAGCGCCTGAGGCCAGCAGCCTGGACACGCCCAGAGGGACGACAGACACGCTCATGGGCCGAGTGACAACCGAGGGACGGCATTAGGTGTGGCCTCCACGTGGGCAGAGAGCCAGGGTAGACCTGATTACTACCTCCCCCCAACCCAGGGGCCAGGGTAGCAGCCCCATCTTCCTGCTGACAGCCACCACTGGGGACTCCTGGTCACTGCCCGATCCCAATCAGAACCCTTGGGAGGCAGAACCGGGTTTAGAGCCAGAAGGCTGGGTCTGGGTCCTGGCTCCATCTGTACTAAATGTGTGTCCTGGGGCAGTTGCTCAGTCTCTCCATGCCTCAGTCTACTCATTACTCTTAAGCAGATAGTACCTGCCTCAGCGGGCGGTTGTGAGCATGCAGCGTGCTCATATGTGTGCGGTGCTGAGTGCACCTGGTATGCAGCAGGTGCTCAGCACAGGTCAGCATTACTCTCCGTGTGGCCAGCGTCATCCGCCCCATTCCACAGAGAGAACTGAGGCCCAGTTGCCCCAGGTCACCACAGAGCACGGGACGCGATGAGATTCAGACTCTGCTGGGGACCCGAAGTCTCACATCTCAAAATCCCAAAGGCAGGGCAACTTGTCCCATCACAGAGACATGGGTGTTGGGGAGGTGTGCGGCTCTGGGAGGGAAGCTCCTTGGATAAGGGGGTGGGGAGTGCAGGCTCCAGGCCTGGCCCTGGGTCCTCCCTGAAACGAAGTCAGCCCCTCCCTCCAGCTCCCCAGAGAGTATCTCAAGGCTGAGTCAACTCAGAGCCTGGATGTCACTCCCACTTCCGCCACGAAGGTCTCCAGGGAGGCAGGAGGGGTGAGAGGGGCTTCTCCCAGGGCCCAGAGTCAGAACCTGGGAAGGCAGCGAGCTCGGGCTCCTGGGTCCAGACTGTCCCTCCCCACTGCAGGCCTGGGCGGAGAGCCAGCACTAATGACATCCAAGACAGGAGTGCAAGCCCCTGGGAGGGGCAGGCTTGGCCCAACACCCAGCCACACCTTTGACCCTGGTCCCAGACTGAGCCCAGCCACAGTCCCTGCCCCTGTGAGCTTTCTGGAGGAAGGTGAGATTGACTCCTGGTGCTCAGATCTGAAGGATTAGCACTTGGGTCTTAAACAGTTGAAATAAAGAGAGAAAGATATCTCCAACAGAAGGAATGGAATAAGCAAAGGCTCCCAGGAAGTACAGCCTGTGCTCTCAGACCTGGCCCTGCCCGCACTCCAGCCTCACCCAGGGTCTGCACCCCCTTCAATCGCTGGATTCCAGCTACCTAGGCCCCTTTCTGATCCTGGAACAGAAAAGTTTCTGTTCCACCCAGTCTCTCCTGCCTCTTTCACTCATGCTGTTCTCTCTGCCTGGAACACTCTTCCTCCCCGTCCCCTCATCCTCCAACTTTTTTCCTCTCTCATGTCTTTTGAGAAGCCCTCCTACTTTGATCTTCCAGAGCCTCTTGTGCTTCTGAATTCACATCGCTCACTCCTCATGAGTGTGTCTGCTTAGGTGTGTACTTGGTCAGTGACCGCCCACCCCCGCTAGACTCTCCCTCGATGGAGGCAGGACCGTATCTGCACATAGTAGGTATTCAGGCAATATCTGTCAAGGAATGGGCTGGACTTGGAAGATGTGAGTAGTTCCCGGGCAGGGGTGGGGCAGGGGCAGCCTGGAGCTGAGGCTGGGGAAGCTCCAGCACAGAAGGCAGTCAGTGCCCGGCTGCCGACTCTGTCTTGGAAATTGGTCATTTTTCATCCTGACTGCACATCAGAATATTGTGAAAACTGAACTCTGGTTCAGCAGGTCTGAGGTGGAGTCTGAGCACCTGCATTGTTTGACTGACGTGGGGAGCCATGGAAGGTGTGTGAGCAGGAGAGGGGCTGGATCGGCACTGCATTCTGCGCCCAGCTTCTCACACCCCCACCCCAACAGGCTCCCTTCTGGAGTTCATACAGAGCTAGAGAGGATCCCGATGCTGGCTTCCTGCCCCAGCCCCGACCACCTGCTCCAAAGCCCTATCCAGGCAGGCCAGGGCAGGAGGCCAGGGCAGGGAGCCAGGAGATTCACCCCCACACCCCACCCCTGTTACCACACACGCAGGCACACACGCACACACACAGTCTCAAAGTAATGAATTAATCAGTATTTACTTGCTACCAGTGAGTCATGGAGTGGAACAATTAGTGTAATTGCTCCCGTGACTAATTGCTGGGTCTTCCTCCGTTTTAGACATTCCAGGAGCTCAGAGCAGCCATCATCCAACTTCCCCCAGCTCCCGACTCTGCCCCCACCACCCCAGGCCCCGGGTGAGGGAGCTAGGAGGCTCCCCACACTACCAGCCTCCACAAGCTGAGCCAGCTGGAGTCCCTTGGGGACTTTCTGCTCAGTCCTTGGACAAGCAGCCTAAAGCCAGAGACGTGCAGCTCCTGCTCAGAGCCACACAGCAGGAGGGAGACTGAGCAGGGACCAGGGCTCAGGCTCCCGATCCTGGGCGGGGCCGTCTTTCCATCCTTCCAGGCAGGCCAGGGAGTGGCTGGGAGACCTTTAGCTGGGAGGAGGGGTTCTAAGAAGTCTGTGGTCCCTGGGGACGCCCAAACTGGGGTAAACAGGGGGGCCAAAAGAGGGAGTCCTCATGATTCCTCTGTGACCAGTGCCACACATCAGCCCCTGATACCCTGCTCCCAGAAAGGCCTTTACAAATCCAAAAACCCCCCCAAAGCCACACGGACCCTTGAAATGATGTACCCAGAGACACAGAGAGAACATATAGACACCCTGACAGACACTCACCTAAAGGCAGCCACAGATTGGCACCACGGGTTGGCGTGCCTTTGGGTGCAAATAGGCACGTGCATGGGGGGCGGGCCCTGGGTGGGGGCGCATGCTGTGCTGCTCTGAGGCTCAGAGACAAGCATGGAGCCTCCTGCGAACCCATCAGCCTCCACTCAGGTAGCTCTCACCTAGATACTATTCATCCTGAGCTCAGTAGCCATCGACATGACAACCGTTACCATGACGACCATCTCCTCCATGCTAAGGACCAGGAGCTCCAGCTCCCCACAGAGATGGGGGGGGCAGGAGAGGGAGAGATGGTGGAGGAACAGAGAGGATGAGCGGGAGGGGGGAGGGCAGAGACACGGGATGGAGAGGCAGGGACAGAGGGAAGCCAGGGTCAGAGGGGCACAGGGCGGGGGGAGGCAGGGAGTAGGGAGAGGTGGGAGGACTCCGTGTGCAAGAGAAAGGAGAGAATGCGAGAGTGGGAGGCAGAGGGAGAGAATTCTCTCACATCTTAATTTAGCCTCACGCTCATCAGATAAAGCTGGGGAAGGGGCCACCACAGTGATTTTCCAAACCTGCATCCAAGAGAACATTCTTTCTAAATAATAAGCAGCCCCCAGACAGGGTGGAGGGAGGGGTGGCCAATAAGCCAGTCACCCTTGAACTTGCCCTGGGAAGCTTAATGCTGGGGACACCTGCGACCTGTGGGGGTTGGGGGCAGGGTGTAGAACGCCATCTTGCCCAGCACCCCCCAGAGCCACCTGAGTGCCAGTTCTAGCCCTCCCTGGGCCTGCGGGGGGCCAGGGCTCAGGGGGCCTCCCAGGAACACGACAGGGGTGCTGGTAGCTGCAGCTCCCAGGGAGACAGCGAGGAGACAGGAGAGAGCTGGGGGCAGGGAACTGAGCCTGGGAGGCAGCAGGGAAAGCCTCAGAAGTCACCAAGTGCCACAGGAGGATGGTGACAAACAGGCTTTGACCCCCAAATGACCTCTCTATTTGCATAATTCCATGCATAATTAGCATAATTAGCCATACCATTCCCTTAAAGGAGAACTGAATCCAAATGCCCCAGGACCCCATGGCCTCCCCCTGACCCTCACTGCGCCTCCTCCAGGTAAACTCACACCCTCCTACGCCTGATAAACACATCCACACACACACAACACACACACACACACTGCAGCTAACAGACAATCCAGCCCGACACCTTAATGCACACACTACACACTGTGGCACACACACAGCCATGCCCCACAAAAACACACAGCTAGGGCCGGCCCCGTGGCTTAGCAGTTAAGTGCGCGCGCTCTGCTACTGGCGGCCTGGGTTCGGATCCCGGGCGCGCACCGACGCACCGCTTCTCCAGCCATGCTGAGGCAGCGTCCCACATACAGCAACTAGAAGGATGTGCAACTATGACATACAACTATCTATTGCGGCTTTGGGGGAAAAAAAAGGAGGAGGATTGGCAATAGATGTTAGCTCAGAGCCGGTCTTCCTCAGCAAAAAGAGGAGGATTAGCACGGATGTTAGCTCAGGGCTGACCTTCCTCACAAAAAAAAAAAACAAAAAACAAAAACACAGCTATACACACACAGCCGGCTTACACACACACACAATTACGAGCAACATTTACCAACCCCAACCTGTGCGCCCACCTCAGCTCACAGACAATACAGCCTGGCACAAACCATCACAGGCTCACCCGTGCACTACACTCCCGGCTGCACACACACACCTGGGGTACCCACAGACACACAGCTGCACCCTTCTCCTCACCTAACACGCACCCCGGCTGCCCCACACAAACCTCAGCCAAATCTCATAACCACATGGGTGGCACACACCCACCCATCCCCATGCCCAAGCGTGTTCCTTAATCACACATCACTGCACACACCCCCAGGCAGGGCCACCCTCGGACTCTGACACAAACCTCACAACTTGTAGACACGCTTTTCTCACACTCACATTCCCCACACGCACCGCACACAGACTCAGGGCACTGGCCAGCGAGCACGCCCACCACAGAAGCCCCTGAACCTTCTGCTTCCTGGGAGCAGACACCCAGCTGGAGGCTCCTCGAGCAGCTGCTAAAGGTCTGAGCTCCCCAGGGGAGCCGCTGAGGGTCCTCAGGGACCTCTGCGCACCACAGCTGGGGGCCTGCCCAAGTCACCTGTGCCGCCTCCTTCAATCATCGCAGCCCCCCCAGAGTTTTATACCCCCATTTCACAGAGGCAGACACCGAGGCTGGGCTCTAGAATTGAGGCATGAGCACG